TCTCGATAGTCTCGTCACCAGGCTGAGGGGCCCAGCTGATTGGACCAGCGCTATCGAGATTGAAGACTTGCTGGGACCGACCGTTCTTCAGCTGAATATTGTAGAATCCAGGGTTGGCTTTGAATTGGAGGTAGCCAAGGTTAGCCATGATGATGGTATCGGCAAAGTGCGGGTCTTTCTCGGTGGCTAGGACAACCTCAGCCCCGCGTGGTGGCTGTCCACCGTTGGTGGTGTCGCGAGAGTGACCTTCGATCAGAATACTTTCCAGTCCATAGACAGCGTCGACGTTAGAACCAACTGGGATAGTACTGAGCTTGATGTTGTCAAGATCATACATGGATTCTTCTGGAGCGACTAGCCATGAAGGAGGCACATCCATACCAAGATTCAGTAGTGCCTCCTTGGGAATACCGGAGAAGCGTGCGCTCAAGTTACCAACAGATCCGTCCGGATTAAAATGAGGTCGGGCTTCTAGAACATATCTGTAGAAGCGCTTGATAGGAAGCTCTTGAAGGTTGCTCTTGGGATTCAAATACAATGTCAGATGAACACCCTCCATGTCGCCTAAGGTTTTCAAAATGGGAACCCATTTCTGGGCGACCTCAGTAGCCGGATCGATCGATGCCACAATATGGAACACGGCCTTGTCTTTGTCGCCTTTGACAATGGCGGTGTGTTCAGTATTCCACTTTTCGTTGTCATTTCTCCTGACTGTCGAAATCTGTTCAAAGATACCTTCCGGCACATCCGATATAGTTGACAAAGCAACCAATGATTGTATCTTGGCGATACTGAAAGGCGACTCGATTTTATTCAAAAGACCAAGATCGTCCAATGCTTTGCTCAAGGGCTCAGCGCGTTTGCTCATCTCGTAGGACACCAGTCCTTCCAGATCATCTTTGGTGAACTTGATATCTTCTGGAATAGGGCCTAGATGACGTCCATTGACAATAATGCTATTTTGGCCTGGCTTTATACCAAGAGCTTCGTATATTGGCTCGGCTGCCTTCCAGAATAGTCGTGACTCTTCTGGGAAAGAGACGGAGCTGGGCTCGCGAGCCAGCAGCTCCAGCAAGGTGTCTACTGTGAATTTGTCACCCGTTTTGGAAGAAGACTCAAGGATATCTTGTGACAAGCCCGACTTTTCGGCGTCAGCGGCAGGATTGTGTATCAAGACAATCTCAGCGTTCGGGTTGGCCTCGCGGAAAACTGCCAGGGACTTGAGCAGGCCCGAGCCATACTCAGAGTCAAAATCAGCAGTGAGGGTGATATGTACCCAGTCGCTTTTGCTCGAAGACTCAGAGGCATGAACTCGTGGCATTTTGCTGTATACATGGCTGTGAGTGTTTTCAAACTCAGCCATGTTGATGAGCGTAACGTTCTTCTCATCCTCTGGAATAATATAGGGATTGCGCCTACTAGCAGCCTGGGCAAGGAAATGCTGTGGAACCCAGCTATCTTCATTGAAGTTGCCTTCAAATATTGCCTTTTGAATTTCCCGAAGATCGAAGGTGATTCGTTTGCTGAGACTAGAGAGCCACTCCTCATTCCCAGGAATAGCAACACCGTTTATCAGAATTGGTGGTTGCGGGCCTTCCCCAGCCAAGCGACTCACGTACTGCTTGGAGTCTGCAATGCGTTGGTCCAAATCCTCTGAAGTGAGGACATCTTGAAATGAAAGGGCTGTACGCTCATCGAGCAAGGTTGAGGTTTTAACTGTCGCATCAAATATGGCCTGATCAGGCTGTGCAAGCTTCTTGCCGTCCATGGACTGCGTCGTATGTTAGTGTTAGGCATTTATGGAAGGGAGGTAACCCATACTGCTTGCAGATATACTTCCACTGCGGAGACTCCATAAGCATCCAGCAGATGATAGACTATCTTGGCCTGCTCGATAGCTTCAGAAGAGCCAGACTGAGGGACGATACCCCAACGCAACGGAATGCCACGTCTGATCAGATTGAAGATGGTGTCAAGGAGAGTCGTCACGTCCTGGATGGATGTTAAGTCAACGAACAGAATGGCATTATGAATGTCTCTGCGGCAGGATGGAAGCTGCCCAGGGAATGTCCTTTGCAGTAGCTAAAAGAATTGGTCAATTCAAGAGCATAGACAACATCAGGTGGCACTTACAGCTTGGAGGCTGCTGGGCCAGTCCTCATACGCCGGGTCCTTCTCAATGTCATTGAGCCAGATGATGACGTTGCCACCTTCGGCCGTATCCCTAAAGTCATAGCGCTGTGGGGAGTCACCTGCGTTGGTTTGTGCGATGGCTACATGCGACAAGAGGGATACGACTTCAGAAACCGAGAGACCCTGGCTGCGAAAACCGTTGATGAGTTTCCGCTCGCGGCGCAGGTGCGCCAACAACGAATATGGGTTGACGTCACGAGTGGGAATGGTTAGGCCGTTGACTACGATGAGATTGATGCCGCCCATCAACCATTGATCGTGATTCTTTTCGAGGCCTTGAAGAAATTCATCAGAAGCGTTGTGGGCAGCGATAATGGACGAGTATTTGGGAAAGTCCTGAACGAGCTTCAGAAGAGTATTCATGGAATCCTCGCTCTGGAGCACAAAGCTAGCAGCCTTGAGTCCGAGATCGGATACTTCGTCTTTGGAAAGAGGCTTAAGATCGGCAACATCTTCTTCGTCGTTCAAACCTGTGTCCATTGTTTTCTGTGCAGCGTTCTTGTCGCTCTCGGCCGCCTGCCTGTCGTCAATGACAATGTAGTCGGTCCGCTTCAACTGAAGGGCAACACCATATCCATTGACTACTAGTGGTGATGTGGGCGCCTTGGGGGATGGCTTGTGCCTGATACGGTATGATGTCTTTCCTTGCTTGGCGGTGGTGCTCAGTGTCTTGTGCCATTTTTTGAATCTTGGAGCAGTGATGTCGGCATAGAGAATGGCGGGTAAAGCTGAGCTGTTGCCAAGTATGCGGTCAAAGGGTAGTTGGTATGTACTGTCCATCCGTCAGCGCCTCGTCTTCCCAAGAACAACGTGGTACGGACCGTTCAGTTGCAATGTCCCCAAAGGGCTCATCCAGATGTACCGAGCAATATTGTTTTCCATGAAATGAGACCCATAGATCACATGCTTCTGTTTGCTTTGCCGACAAGGAAGGCTCTACTGAAGTATTGTAGAACTGGTAGTGTGCCTCGATGCGTGGCGCGGCCGACCGAACTGAAAGTGCAAACTCGAAGGAGGCAAGGGCTTCTCGCTGAGTAATGTGGCCATCGGCATACAGAAGGTCGACAAAGGCTGTATATAGCTCCTGGTCGGTGGTCTTGTCGTCGAAGTAGCCCTCAGCAACTCGGTCAAGAATGGGGTAGTATGCGGTCGCGTTCTCCTCAGCTGCAGTTTCTCTGTAGGTAATTAGGTTGTGTATGCAATATCACTTTGGGAGCTACTTACAGTAGCTCAACCAGAAATGGTGCAGGATTGAAGGCAGCCCGCAAGGCGACGTTGATACTGGGACTGGCCAATGTGCCCATGTGCCGGAATGTAGTCAGCACAAATAGTGCTTTTGCACCCAGGATAGAGGCCGAAGCTCTCATACTGCCGGGCTTTATCCAATCGCTATAGCACTTTGTAGTAGTGTGTGATGTAACCAGGCTGGGTTTGGTGTTTGTGTCGAAAGGTCAACTCTCGATGTTAAGAAGATGCAACGTGTAGCATAACTTGGCTGACGAAACGCGCACGCAAAACAGAGTGTGGTGTGATGCACAGTGCTGGGTGTGGTTTGGTAAGTCCAGCGTACCTTTTGTCTTCAGAAAGAGACAGCGGCTCTCCTTGAGCAGGGACTTGACAGCTCAATGTCTTGACGACGTATCTTGGATTGACGGGCGCGACAGCATTTGGTACGGCGGGCGGTTGTTACCCAAAGCGATGCGGCTGTCTTATCTTATCGGGCCCTGCCTCGGAATGGTTCCGACGGAAGGCTACGCGCTCAGTCACGTGACACACTACACTACCACCGCTTCAGCTGGTACGCCATATGCTCCAAGCTTTGGCAGCGCAACAATGCAATACAACTCTCTTCGGGGGCGGCGATAGTTCATAAGCCGCTGAAGGGTAACCAGTACAACGGCTATAGAGAGGCTAATTATAGAGGTTTTTTCTCGTCTACGTCGAAAGTCATGGAAAGTCGTTGAGTTGTTTGGTACTCTCCAAATCTTAGGTCAGCCTGGTAGAGATTCCAGAAGGCTATTTGTCGGTCCTTTTCTTGCCTTGTGCACGATGACATTGAACGGGTACTCTCCAAATCTTAGGTCAGCCTGGTAGAGATTCCAGAAGGCTATTTGTCGGTCCTTTTCTTGCCTTGTGCACGATGACATTGAACGAAAGGTTTATGGCGTGAAGGGTACAAAAATAGTTGTGAGTAAGCATCCGTGCCACAGACTATCTTTTGGAAGAACGCGTTCCGGCAGGCAAATGATTGGTGTGTAGCTGTGTCATTTGGACCAATTCCATGTGTTTCTCAACGAACTACTTTTGATGGACTTTTAGATGGTAGTACCGAGTCTTGCTATGTGTATGTCAACCAAACAGGCTATGAGCATGCTTACTTTATCCACTTACATCCATCCCAGCACAGTATAGCAGTGGAAAAGCAGCAACATCCATAGATGACGACTCGCCAACGGTATGCTTACGTATCCACACACACATAAGACCGAGCTGAAAACATGACATGCATGGTGGCCCTGCCAAGATGTTGCGCCAGGCCGGATGCTAAGGGCATAGTGGGGGATAAGCGTGCGCGTCTGGCTGGGCCCTAACGGTGGACAGACAGGGCGGGCGTGCGGGTGGGCCAGTGACGACGCCAAACACGATACGTATACGACGGCCTGCTCCACCACCACCCACCCCGGCCACGCTGACGACGGCGTCTGTCTCCGCCCGTGTTTTGCATGCTTCATCTGTCTGCCCACGCTCATCCACTCTCCAATGCCGTGAATCCACCTGCCCCATCCCTCTCCGCCATCTCCGCCATCATGCTCAGCGGCCCGCCTAGGATCATTCCCTTTGTCTTTGTCTTTCTCGCCCTCACCTTGGTGTGGTGGTACCTGCATGCTGTCCCTGGTGCAGGCCCGTCATTGGCAACATGGAAGCCCCAGACCTCACCACCGGGCAACCGTCCCTCGCTGCGCGGCGACCCTCTCGACTTTGGCCTGCCCCTGCGCTTCTCCGACCCTGTGCGCAAGCCCCCGGGAAGCAACTACACGTACAAGATTGTCGTCCCCAAGACCCAGAAGGAGGACATTAGCTGGATGGAAACCGAGATTCCCGATGCGCCTCTCGTAGTCTACGAAGTCGACAATCCAGATGCCGAGCACAAGATCCCCAAGAACAAGGGCCGCGAGGCCATGGTATGATCCCCTTTTTTTTACACGTGTGTTCCTATTGCGCGTACATGCAGGCTGACACGCGCGCTCCAGGTGTACCTCTCCTACATCATCGACCATTACAATGACCTTCCCGACACCGTCATCTTCATGCACGCCCACCGCCACGCATGGCACAACAACATGCTCCTCGGTCTCGACTCCGCCCAAATGATCAAGCGCCTCAACCATGACCGCGTTGCCCGCATGGGCTACATGAACGTTCGCTGCCACCACGAACCCGGCTGTCCCGACTGGATACACATGGACCGTCCCGGCGGCGACTTTGACTTCTTCCACAAACCCGAGGAAATCTATTGGCGAAAGGAGGTTTGGGAGGAGATCCACCCCGGCGCGCCCATCCCCCCCTCCATCTCGGGAATCTGCTGCGCCCAATTCGCCGTTTCGCGCCAGCGCATCCAAGAAGTGCCCATTGAGCGCTTCATTCACTACCGTAAATGGCTCCTAACTACAGGCATGGACGATCAGTTTTCCGGCCGCATCTTCGAATACATCTGGCACTACATCTTCACCGGCCACGAAGTACATTGTCCAGCCATGAACACATGCTACTGCGACGGCTACGGCTACTGCTTTGGTGGCCTGGCTAAATTCAACGAATACTTCAAGAAACAAGATGCGCGCAACGAAAAGTTCACCGAATACGACGGCTACCAGAAGAAGGAAAAGGAGGCAGAGAAGGATGGCAAAGATTCTCCCCTCACTGAAGACGAGAAGAAGAGGTTTGGCGAGCTCAGAGCCCAGCTTTTGGTTATGGACCGCGAACTCGACGAGCTGAGAGATGCGGCGAAGAAGAGGGGCGAAGACCCTAAAGCTAGAAAGGAAGAGACTGAGTCGTACGATTCGAGCCACATTTGGGACTATGCCCCGCATGACAACTGAATGAGCATTTGATGATTATGCGTGCTTGCGGCATGCAGGCCGAACCAAAAATAATAGGCGTTTCGATGGCGTTTTCTTGCGAGATTAATGGCACCACATACGGGTTTTTTTGCTACCCTGAACCGGACATGGATTGAGCATGGGGCATACATGACGTTACCTAGATACCTCACATACATATACATATTTGTTTCCTTGTATGATAGATCTCAAATCTGTACATCTTTCTCTCACTTCTTCTCGTCCTGTGCACGTGCTTGTCAGTTTCCTTGTGGTGAAGGTGCGCTAATCCTGCCTACGGCTATATGATTGGTATCACACACGCTCATCACATGCTTGTCCTGGCAAATACTAATCTTCCTGCTCCATCACTACGCGCAAATATTACACTCTCGCTGGTAAAGTACAAAGAAAATACTGCAAGACACACAGTCATGGTTCCTTCACTTCCACCTTCCGGACTGAGTGGCCAATGCACCTCCCACTTTCTACCAATTACTTCCAAGCAAACACTTCCTTTCTTCCACAACTTCTTGCTACCCGAACCGTTTCACAACCAGTTGTGCAGTTGCACTCAGTCCTAGGACAAGCTGTTTACCAACCTGTTTGTTTGTTGGTATTTGACCCGGTTGGCGCACTGCTTGCTGTTTGTTTACTACTGGCGTCGCTTGCTCTATCCATTTCACTCTCACCTTTGCTTTCGTTTCCGTCCCCGGCCTTACTTCCACTTTCACTTTTGCCTTCTCCGTCTCTCCCACCTTCTACCCCGTTCAGGGAGATGCTACCTTGCTTATCACCTTCGTTTCCAGATACTTTAGAGCGGTCGTCACAGAATCTTTCTTGCGCTCTACTGTACAACACACGCAACGCTTTGTTTTGCATGTGCCTTGCGCAAGCAGCGACATTCAATAAGTTTCCACACAGAAACCGGAAGCTAACATGTCAACCTCGAGCGATTTCGCTCAATCCCAAGCTACTGACTGGTCGCCACCAGTGCCCGCGACAGCAGAACTAGACGCTATCCATGACATCAAGGTAAGAAGAATCACTACGCAATCTTTCAGCACACTGACTCTGACAAGATTGAATGGAAACGACGCATACGAACTACAAACGATGGGCACAAATCCGGAAAGCAACGCCTAGTCGCTGACTTACATGACTTCGAAATATATCGTTCTCCGGATTACGAAAAAAGAGCATACGAGCTAGCCAGCTTGCATTTTCTTGGGCTTCCATTGAACAAGAAACTCTGCTTCGATGGCTTTGTGCGCCTAGGAAATGTCGAGCACTATGTAAAGGGTGTACCATTCCAGCGGTGCTCTATCAAAGACTACACGGACAAACAAAATCCAGAGGTCACGTCCTATATCCAGTCTGAAATGGCGGCGAATGACAATGAATACGATATCTGGTATCAGCTCACTGAACCTACACCACAATATCGGCGCCTCCAGGATGCCTTCCTCTGGATAGCTCAGCTTGGAAAGCACGTTCTTAATTACATGGAAGGCTCTTCGCGCTCGTTAGGCTGCTTCCGTACAGACTTCCACACCTTCCTGAAGCATTGTTTTAGCGACAATCGCGATTTTGAAAACTGGCATGCGGCTTTTCGAAATCAAACGGACTTCCGAGTTGCTGTTGTGACATACACCGAGTACCTGTACAAGGAAGCCTCTCATCAGCCAAATTCCGATCAGTTTGTCAGGCAGCCATTATGGGTTGAGTGCATGGCGAAAGCTGTCACGCCTAATATACCACGAAAGACAGACCCTCAGCAGACAGTTGCGACACCAGCTGTTCATGCTTGTTTTCAAGATATGTACTTCGGGAAGAAAATCCGACCGCAAGCTCCTTCTAAGCACGTCCTTGACAAGCACGAATACAGGAAAAGAAAACTTGGGTTTTTGACGATATCGTCAGCGTCACTTCCCTATGCCGAGTTGTCTAAAGGCTGCCAGCCATATGGAGCATCGCCGGTTATGGTTGGAGATGTGGTTGCTGTAGTCCCAGATGAGGCAGACGTTAAACTGTGGAAACATACGAAGCGAGATTGGCTGGCATATGTCCAACGCACTGAAACTCTCGAAAACGGTGTTCAGCAACTGTTTGTCGTGTGGCTGTATTGGCCTCATGATACAAATATTGCCAAAGCCTACTATCCATTGCAAAACGAAGTGTTTCTATCGGACAATTGCAATTGCACAGAAAGAGCGCTGCTATCCACTGAAGTCAAGGGAAAATACGACGTCGAATGGTGCCCTTCAGTTATCAATACGAAGCATCTTTTCGTCAGGCAAAAGTACATCCACAACGGGAGCTCATTTGTGAGTATGAAGGACAATGACAAGATTTGCTCTTGTCACAAGGAAACTCGTACAAATGTCGCTACTATGTACAGGTCTGGCGACACTGTTTATCTAACACCACCACCAGATCAGCGGTTACTAGAGCCGGTCATTATCCAATATATTGACGAAAAGAAGGGGTCGGTGACTGTGCGGAAGCTGTTACGACTCGGGCGTGATTGCGCTGAGCTGGGCAAGGATCTGCAACGATCAAGTATCGCTCCAAATGAATTGGTACTCACGGATGAATATTTCGAGACGAAAACTAGTCAGATACAGCGTCACTGTTCCATACGATTCGTCTTAAGATCAGACATCACGGCTAACAAGGTGCCCTTCCCTTACAACCGGCAAGGGGCGGGCGACCTATGGTTCATCTCAATGGGATTGAGTGTCAACAAGGATGGACAGAAGAGGCTCTCATATCTTCGGCGCTTGCCATGGAATATGCACGAACGCACAAAGATGGGTTTAGACAACAAACTTAGAGGCCTCAGCATTTTCAGTGGTGGTGGGTTGCTAGACAGAGGTCTCGAAGAAGGTAGCGCTATAGAATTTCGTACCATTGTTGACTCCAGTCAACATGCTATCCGGACGCAACAGGCGAACATCAAGAATTCTTCAACAGTTTGTCTCTACTGTGGCTCAGTAAACACTTTTCTCGATTCAGCGCTCAAGGGCGACACAAGCTTTATTGCTAGAGTTGGTGATGTAGACTTTATTGCTGCAGGATGTCCTTGCGTCGGTATGTATACTGAGTAGTTCCACTACTTAATAATTGGTTAGCTTGGTACTTTGCTAATAGTTCTCACAGCGTTCTCTGGACTTCAGCAAAGCCCCTTTAGCCCGAACTCACTGCTCAACGCATCTCTCGTTAGTACATTCTGCTCTTTTGTGGATCTTTACCGACCATTGTACGGCGTTTTGGAGAACGTGCTGAACATTTCATCAGAGCGGGCCGGTTCAGAACGGGCCGGTTCAGCGCTATCGCAGGTGGTGGCTTGCCTGGTATCATTTGGCTATCAAGTGAACCAGTATATTATGGACTCCTGGAATTATGGCAGCCCACAGAGACGCTCGCGCGCAATACTCACCATAGCGGCTCCCGGTCTTCAGCTAATTATGCAGCCTTATCACACCCACAGCCGATCCGACGAGGAAGTCCGCGGAAGAAGCCTAGGCCAACTACCCAACGGAGAATTCTGTGCTGAGCGTCAGTATTACCCAACGCCTTTTTATCATGTCCCTGCGCAGACTGTTAGTTCCGGGTTGCCCGATATTGAATATGGCGCCGGACAAACATGTATAGCATATCCGGACCACCGAGTCCCTAATGTACCGACTAGGAAAGATAGACCTCTTTTGGATTGTATACCAAAACAACCCCCCGACTGTGGGTACAAAGAGGCCGAAGAGCTTGGGCGTGTTCCGCCCCATTTACGCAGGACAAGAGAGATTGGCAAATCCTACCAAAGGATAAAAAAAGCTGGTTTAGTGCCCACAATTACAACAAGTGCGTGCATTTCTGACGCCAGGAATGGTGCTGTTATGCATTGGGAAGAAAGCCGATCTCTCAGTCTCCAGGAGGCTCGCCGCACGCAGGGTATAGATGATACTGAGCCGATCATTGGAACAATTAAAGACCAGTGGAGAATTGCCGGTAATGGCGTGGCTCGCAAGGTGGGTCTTGCTATCGGGTTAGGATTGCTTCGAGCCGTCGAAAGCAACGACCTAGAGTTTACATCGACCGGGACTGCCGAAACATTCCTGACTTCAGTTGAGGATGCAGATGACTCCTTGGACCAGAGCTCTCCCAAGCATGACGATGGCTTTTCTCATCTGGAACATATACTCAGCAGTGCTGTGAGTAGGCTTTCTCTAACCCCAGTGGATTGTAAAGCAAAGTCTATACTACAGCCAGCTCAAGTTAAACGCACAAGTGAAGACAACTTGGACTCTAGCAAGCGGCCAAAGAAACAGGCACGAACAAGCAAGGCGCAAGATACTGCTGCCAATCTTGAAAATAGGGCGACATCCATTGATCCGGGTAGGGGTAGCAGACAGAGCTCGACAGCTTCAACGGGCTCGACCAGCTCGACAGGCTCGACAAAGGCAAGATGCACACGGCACTCGGGATTACCGGTTGAGTTTGCCCCGAAGAACTGGAGTAAGAGGGTGGAACCAAAGCGTCGTGACCGGATCTGATTGATGATGATTGCGGTGAAGGAAAAGGCAGGAGATGGGGAGTTTATTCATGGATCTTATTGACAAGTCAAGCTACCATACAGTTTACACACGGCACCACATGTACATATACCATTTCGCATGATTCATATCCACACTTTACCTACACAGAAATCCAAAAAAAGCAATCAACTCCACCATATCAAGCGTGTCACTCTCCACATCCTACCCAGCTTATTTCCACTCCACACCCCACGTCTGCTCTCCCCTCCTAAACGGCACAACCTCCACACTTCCCCCTTGATTCTTCAAAACATCCACAATCCTCTCTCCTCCCCTCCTCAACACAACCCTCTCCCCACGGCTATCCCCAACCTGATAAAACGCCCTCCCCCACGCCCCAAAAAACCCCTCCAACCCCTCCTGCGTCACCTCTTCCTTGCTGATGACCCCCCTCTCCACCCCCTT